GCCGCCCCGAGCCCGGAAGCGCCGCCCGGCCGCGCGCGCCGGGACCCCTGTCCCGGGAGCCCCGTCCCGCTCCCGGCCCTTCCCGGCGCCCCTTCCCTCCCCTCCCCTCAGGAGCAACGGGGGGGACCCCGCGCCGCGGCCCCGGGGCACAGCCGAGGGGCGGGAATGCAGCCGCCGGAGCCGCAGCCGAGCCCCCAGCGCAGCACGGTGAGGGGGGGGCGGTGAGGGAGCGGGTGGGTTTGTGGGGGCGGGCAGGGGGTCGGGAAGGGGCGCTCAGGGGGACACCCCGCGCTCCCCCCGTCCCGCCGGGCGGAGAGTGTCGCCGTGTCCCCTTCCTGCCCGGGAGGGAGCGGCTGGAGCTGCCCCGGGAGCGGGGGGTGTTCCCAGCCCCGGGAGCGGGGGGTGTCCTGCCCTGCGTGGGCCCGGGTGTGGTGCCGGGAGGCGGCTCGTGTTGATCCTGGCTCCTGTTTTGCTGCCGCACTCCCACGCAGCGCCGAGCAGGGAAAACTTTGGTCTTTGTTTTTGGAGCCTGGGGATTCCTCTCGTGCGGGGTGTCCCCCGTGGTGTCTGCTGGGTCACCGATGCTGCTCTTGCAGTTTAAAAAAAAAATAAATTAATAAAAGGCAAGTAGATTCACAGGTAAAGGCTACCCCTGCCCCTCGGACGTGACTGCAGCAGGATGATGCTGCTGCCGAGCCTTGGCTCCGGGCATAGAGAGGCCCCCAGAGGTAGCGAGGCCTCGGTTATGCTCTGTCCAGAGTCTTGGCTTCGGGTCGGGTTTGAGATCTTATCACTTGTTTGTATTGGCACCGGGGAAAACGAGCTCGGGTTTCATTTTGGTTTGTTTTTCTAATATAGGTGGATGTGATGGAAGGATGCACCTTGTGTTTAGGGCTTGATACTGCTCAGTGTTAACATTTGGCCGCAGTCACTGTGCTTTCCCCTTGTTCAGACATGACTTGTAACGTGATATTGGCTCTTGTTTCCCTTGCTTTAGCAAGGAGAAAACAAGGAGAGGAAAGACAACTGCTTTGATGGCTTGGGAGTAACAGTACTTCAGGGTTTGGTAGAGATTCCCTGCCTCCAAAAAACCGGAGTGGCTCAGATAAGGCAGACTTGGGAAGTAGTGGGAAAACTTAAAACAAGACACTATGTTCAGGTAAACATGCATTAAACTGTCTTGGAAGGTCTCAGTGGTAACCAGTTTGAAGATGTTATTAGTGGTCTATTGATACCTTTATAGCTAATGAATGCAGTAAATATTAGTTAAATAAATTGGCTAAAGGCTATTTGTAGTTGCTTTTACAATAAGTATATTTCAAGGTGTTTAAGCTCGATGTCACACAGTAAATACTGAGAGTGGTCAAGTCAACCCATCCTGCTGATGTATTGATATGTGTCTGTTATTTTTAGTGCAGGTGTTGAGTAGTATTTCTTTATGGGCTCATGTTCTGTGGCAGGTCCACTTGACCATTTCTGTTTTCAGAGCACTCAGTGTAACAGAACTCTTAAAAGTTACAGGTAAAGCTTCTGTGGTCAAAGGCCAGTCACTGTTCTGGTAACTTTAATTTTGTTTTCTAGATCTGTGAGAAAAGCAATACTTTATTCTGCCCCTCTGCAAGTATATTTTCAGTTAACATATTTCTTTTAAAAAGAAGAAATGTTAAATTCATTTCCTCTTTGTAGAGAGAGAGGAACAGGATTTTTAAAAATAAAGTGTTTCACAACATTTGTTAAAGCTTGCCCTTTGTCCTGTGTTGTGAATGGTGTCTGTTGATAGCAGCAATCTGAAGAATGCCATAACAGCTTGTGTTAATGTATATATGGACTGTCTCGATTCATAAAACTACCAAGGTATCAAATTTTACACACTTTAGTAAAGGATGATAAGATCAGCGTTTAAATCTACCTTTAATGTTAAATGTTTTGGTTTAGGTACAGTGAGTTGAATAAATGTGAGGAATTCTTACTATGATTTTATACTTTTGTGATGTATTTTCATCTGGCTTGGGGCATAACCTTTGCTATAAGTGATTGCAGATAAATGTGAAGAGAGTATTGTGAGATCTGTGGCCATTCTTGTTCTTTCCTGGATCTCACTGAGGTTCCTTTTTCCTTCCATTAGTTGTCATCTTGAGGAACACAAGAGAACTTGAATAGATGTGGTGAAAACGTGTCTTCTTTTCCACTCAGCTTTGCTGATATGTCTGTGCTGATGTCTGTCAATTGAGTTGCAGAGTAAAGAGTAATCCTAATGGAAAAGGATTGCTTTGAAGTCATCCAAGAGAATACGTTAATGTGATTCTTAAGGTTATCCCATAGTAGCTCGTCTCCTTCTATCCCCTGTCAAAAATTATGTAGCGCTGAAATGAAGTTCAGTTTTTGTTTGCACTGGTCTGTAGTCACTTTCTCCTGACTTCAAACCTGTGATGATTCATTTTGTATGTATTTTTAAATAGCATAAGTAGCCTCAAAGTATGACCTGCAAAAGTATTCTTGGTTAGGGCAAGAGTTATGCACTGAAGTATAGGAAACTTAGATGTTTTATTGAGTTATTTTTCAAAGAGCTGTATCTCCATGTGGGATGATAGCTCACATCTTTACTTCCACAGCTGCAGTGTTTCAGCAAAATCACTAATAACACAAGCAAAAGCCTTTGATTTACTTCTTTGACACCAAAGGTATTTTTGAGGTGATTGAAACATTGAGTAAATGATCAAATCTTGTAAATTTGGGGTAATGTCAAGTCTGTCTTGTGTGCTTAGTCATCCACCTGAACTATGGTATGACACATTTTGCTCCAGGAGCATCTGTATGATGCTGCTGTTCCCACTGCTGGGAGCTGAAGTAGGAGCAGAGCCTGGTGTGTTTGTACCTGTGTGCACACAGAAGGGCAACTGAAGTGCAAGTACAGGTGTTTGCAGTGAAGGAGTTACTTTTGTTACATGGTATGTTCATGGTTAAAAGGCAGGTGACAAATGGAGTGTGAAATTAAGAGACAGTTCATACAAAGCCTGAAACATTTTCATAAGCACTTTTTGAACTACTTTTGACTGCAAGTGTTTTAAATTACACAGTAGAAATATCTGTGGCTTGTGGGTTTGCAATATTTTTTCCTGTCCATGTTGCTGCCCTTACTCAAACAGAAAAAAAAAGCCAAACTGAAAAGTGTTGGTGCTGCATAGTACAGTAAACTGTTATTAGGGATTTACTTTCAAATCCCTGACAAACTTTTCTGTTATTTTCTTTTTTCTTGCAAGTTGAAGCTTTTCTTCAGCTATGTAGATAATATAAATTTTCTGCAGACTGTTATTTATGTATGGGCACAGTAGACTAAAATATTGTCTGAGGGGTGATATTGGCTGTTTTGTTCTCCTGAAAGACCAAGAATCATTTTGTTGAGATTAAATGTGTGGTCTGGTCGTGGTGCCAGTTCCCATGTGAGAAGCATTCTCCCTAAATGGAAAGATGAGAGTTTTGAAATACTTGTTTAGACTCGTGTATGCAAATGTTGAAGGTGTTGGTTGAAAACATTGCTGGAATAGGTTCTTGTACTCTGCCAAACCTGGAAGTGTCAGTCAAAGTTGTCCTTTGAAAGGCTTTAACATTATGAGCGTGCTGGTAGTACTTAGCAATTGCGTCTCTCCAGCTTCAGACAGATGATGTGAGTTCAACCTGACAGTGTAGATGGTTCTCTGGTATTGAGTCTCTTGTTCTGTGTGAGGTGGAGAGTTGGTCAACAACTTCTGTGCTGTGTCAGTCAATGCACTATGGTATTAGTATCCAGGAGACTCATGTGCACAACTTCCAGAAAAAACATCACTGAGGCCTTTTTATCAACATGAAAAGCTAAAATACATCTCACAAAATTCAGTATGTAAAAGCCAGAGTGTTACTAATAAACCATACAGCTCAAGTTGTGCAGTGAGTTATCACTGTTTAGCATTTTTCTTGTTCTTTTTCTCTTTTTGAAGATTAATTATGCTAGATAGATCACACTGTCTGCGTGTCTCAGTTTAATGTCAGAGTGGAACTAACATTTCAATATTCTTACACCCCATTGATTACTACATTGAATGTTTCTCCCTTTTCAAGTATTGTTTCACAATAGCCAGCATAGCACTAAAGTGAAAAATGCCACCTCTGTTAAGATTATATACAGCTTTGTGTTCTCAAGAAGCATTAGTTCTTGAATTTCAGGTGGGTTTCATTTTATTCAGGGTCTGAAGTCAAAGCAGCTGTATTTTAAAAGCATCTTCAATGAATTATCAGGTTTTATCCTAATCTAACTCTGTTGTAAGGAAAATTACTTCTCCTTTTGCTCTGTTCAGAGAGTTGTTTAAAACAGGAGGCTTTGTAAGCAAACAGAAAAGTCACAGACTAGATAGAGAGAGGTCATTCTGCTACAGTGGTGTTCAGTAACCTGGCAGTCACAGCTAAAATACGGATGTTTTTCTATCTGCTTGTGCACTTGCTGGGAGATCATTGAGGGTGTTTTCTTAAAAACACCTTTCAGCAGATTATATTCAATCAGTTGTGTTCCACATTCATAATGAAATACTTGCTTTCAAATGAAATTGCATATCCACTGAAGTGCATATTAATTTGAAAAGCGGATCAATTTCTGTGAAATCGTGGAGCAAGTGGAATTTTTAGGAAAAAAAATCTGTTACTATCAGTATTTGTCTTGGATGTTGTGGCAGAAAAAAACTTGAATGATTTTCTAAATTGTATTCAGTGTTGACTGTTTCTTATCAGATTTGGTAGCAGTGCTAGTATTTTAATCTTGTTGCAGCTTTAAGCTTTCATTTTCTCCTTGCTTGGTTATGTTCTAAGATGATTTGCCCTGAAGACTCATCTGTTTGAACAATTCTTACTGGTTTACAGTGTCACAACTTCAGTGGACAATGGCTGGGGAAAGGTTTGGTTTGTTCTGTGTGTGCCATTTGTCACATTGGTATAAATCCTCAAGTATAATTCTTTTTGTTCTGTGGGGAGTTTGTATACTTTGACTTGACTTAAAATGTGGACATTTTTTTCCTAGCACTTGAAAGAGTTGTGAATTTGTTTTGTTCTTTGTTTTTTTGGCATTGGGCATAGGACTAGTAATACTTGATAAATAGAGGGTGATTGTTTGTTTGGGGTTTTTTTTACCTAGGTGTTGTGCAAGTTATGGAAGAAATGTAGAACTTGGTTTTCATGCTGAT